ATAAAAGTACTTCACGATTTTGTCTAAAATATTTATTTATAGACTTTTAACGTTCTCCGCTTTAATTGCCAAACAATATAACTTCCTTCTTACAGTACTGGTGTTTCAGAGTTGTCAATCACTTCTCAAAAACCCTTAATGCCCAGCTCTTGCTACGCCGGGCCTCTCGCTGTCCGTCGAAGCCTTTCAGAAACGCTTAGTACTAATGGACGCGAAAACCGGAACACCCATTGGCGACTTGAGAATTCTTTATTCCAACACCAATATATAAGCAGCATAATAGACTAAGGTTTCAGGCGGTTTTTCCACGTTCTTTCTGAACAGTGACCGATGAGACGATGACTAATGTATTGATGCCTCCGAGAAAATATAGGGAAGTTGGGTTTGAGCAAAGACACCATGAATTGATCGTTCAATCTTCAACTACATTGACAGGAGTTTTTTATTGGTGCGGAGCGTCTTCGTAACAATAAGAACTTAGGGATAATTTCCTTGACATTGGTCATTTTGCATAAACTCGTAGTACGATTTCGGCACGCCTGCGTCACAACGGCAGTGTACCAATCGTTTGCGAAAATTGCATTCAAAAGCTGAATCAGTTTAATAAACAATGACACCATACGCCTGACATTCGTCTCCTTTTGAAGTCTTATGACGTCCTGAGCGTTTCATTTTTGCTTTGCTGTGTTTCACGCAATAGCTTTAGTGGGTGCAGATGTAGTATCCTGTCCACCTGGTATCGCCTGTGCCATTTGAATGCTAGACTGTGGCAATGCAGGCGTAGTATCAGAACAGATGAGACCTACACGAGTCTTTAGGATCGGTGTGCGGGAAGGGGTTGATGTCCCTGGGTTTTTGCCTTCTTCGGCTGAAGCCCTTGTGACTACGGAATATGGTGTTTTATTGCATTTTCTAAGGCTACTTTCAACAGCCATATCAACAGTCACTGTGACTTGTGCTGTATACGAATGACAGCAACAGTATCTACCCAAGAGAACAAGAATAAGATTGATAAAGTACAAGACAAGGAAAAGAAAAGGTTTCCGATTTCACTTAGTACTTTCTGGATGATCGGCTTGACAGCAGTCACGTTGTAGACCAACAAGTCTTGTTTATCTGAAAGAGTGAGGATGATGCTGCTAGAGAAGTGGCACCTGAAGCTTCGGCAGCAGTTCGAGACAGCTGGACTTACCACGCAGAGATTCAATGTGTAAGTAATGGTTGAATTTAATTCACTGGCTAGGAAGATCAGGTTTCCCAAGCGGACAATTCACAAAATGAGTATTTTCCGGCTAGAGAGGAAAAAACACGTTGTATTCAAGGGGCGCGCTCGTTGTTTGCGAGCCTTAAATTTCATTCGAATTCCAAAGAGACGTTCAATTACTGTTGATACACTTTCTGAAATCGCACTAATTTTAACTGCAAACATGCCCCTGGAAAGTTAAATGACCCGCTAAGACCTTAGAGGTCACAAATCACTTGGGTGAACTTGAGGGCAGCATCCAATCACATCTGTTTATTTAACTTGTTTTTAATTGGCTGGTTTGTCGGTTTTGTGCTGGTAGGATTCGATAATCCTTGTCTTACATTTTAGGACGTATAATGAATGATACTTCTGTAGATGTTGACATGCTTAATAAATCCTTCATATGTATCCCTGCAGATGTTATGATTCCTAACTCTAATAGTGTAAATAAGGACTGCTTCTCATGCTTTAATACGAATGATGTCTTTAAGTGTCTTCAACCTCACAAACCTTTTACTTTACTTTTTTTTACTTTTGATTTACAGCTTGATTCTACACTGTATTTTTGATACAAGTGTGGAATTTTCAGCTTGGATATCGGTAGCCCAAATTTTGCAGGCCGACCATAGATATCAGGTGTGCGCCGGCGTGGGCTCAAACCCCGGACCATGTGCATGGTCGGTGAGAGTCCTAACCACTGTGCCACCTACTCAGTCCCTTGAACCTTACAATGTTCCTGCTGTTATCCTTATGGAGTGTGCTGATATCTTATGAGCCCAATTAACTGACATTTCCAACGAATCTTTTTCCAAAAGGATTATAAAGGGCTCATTGAAAAATATCAGGATTGGTCCAGTGCCTGAATCAACAAGCGGACTAATGTTAAGCCTAGACCCATTGGCATCGTTGGACTCACCAGTTTGTTGTGGTGCTCTTTTTGATCAAACTTGCGAACACGTATATCCTAGTACTTCTTCGCGTTTATGTTGTGTCCTAAAGTTGGGATTCTTCAACATCCACATCGTAAATCAAAAGACACTCGAGAAGGGGTACGAACGCCTATTAACGCAGTAACCAAAATTCATAAGTTGAGCGAGCACAAAAGTATCAACTGTAACACACAATATTTAGAGTGATAAAAATATCGTAGTAAAATACATGGTGAAAGTACACTACAAAGATGAGTAATAAAATTGGTCGCTACAACATTAACTCATATTTCTTGAGACTTATGATAAGATGTAGTTTCATTCATCTTCAGTCCTAATTAAAGCCATTCAGTGATCACATCCAGTTTGCTTAAAACACAGTAGGTGTACCTTAGATGCCGCTGTTGTCCCACATCATAGTATGGTCTCCAGTTTAGATAAAGGAGCTAAATACGTTCGGTGTGCCTTCCTTGATAACACATCTGCATTTGACTCTGCACCTAGGTCACTAGTGCTAAGTAAGCTTGCTGCAACACAGACTGAGAGCTGGAAAAATGAGTGGTTGCATTCCTATTTTCCTGATAGGAAGCAGTACACCGTCTACAATGGAAAGTCCTCCACTACCTCACTCACTTTAAGCTGGTGTTCCTCAAGGTGCTGTTCTTTCCACTTTTCTGTTTTCTTTTTTCTTACAGGACATGCCTCATTCTGATGTAGCCACTCTTGTTAAGTATGCTGATGACCTCTCTGTTTCTATGCCTGTCAACTGTCAGTCAGATTGTTCCAAATTAAATAAATTTCTGTCGGAAATTAGTCAGTGGTCCTCTTCAAACGGTCTTAAGCTGAATCCGTCTAAATGTCAGGTAGTCAATCCCCCGTTTTCAGACGTAAACGTGACCTACAACAACTAGATAGCTCACATGGCCCCACTATCACTGACGGCATAGAGGTTGAAAATACATCTAAAGTCAATTAACTTGGACTGAGTATTTCCACCGATCTTTCCCGGTCCTCCCAAATCTTGCTACTTACTAGAAAGATGTTTCGCTTAACGTTCTACGTTAGGAAAATAAGCCAGTCTGGTATAGCGTCGGTGGTATAGGGGTTAGGACGCTCGCCGACCGTGCATATGGTCCGGAGTTTGACCCCCGGCCGGCGCACTTCTTTTATATCATACTTGATCGTGCCTGTAAAAATGGCATGCATTTTCATGTATATTTATATGTTTATATGAGAATATACATTATTATTATAAAGCAGTCTTTACTTTCTCAGCTTGTCAATTCTTGTATTCTACTGTAGCGGTAAACAATTCTCCAAAATTATTGAGCATAAGAATTAGCAGTGAACATTGGATGCTGACCACCACTGTTTAAGTCGACTTGTTAGCTGCAGGCTTTCGGTCAAGCATCCCCGCCATTTGGTACTCCGTCGTGTCACGTTCGTGCACGATCACTAGCCAGCTAAGCGTTCGTCTAACAACTTGTTTTGGTCTTGAAATATATCACGTAGTTTGGACGATCAAATAGAGTCTTTTGCTTTGCCTTTGGTACGCGAGATACAAATACGTTAGAAATTGTTGGTATAAGAGCTTGCGTTAATATACCCAGTACTCTGCGCGAACGTCTATACCGTCAATCTCTAAACTACCCATCCCTCTTTACCGCTCCCCACTAATCTTTCCTGGTCTATTTAAAAAAGACTTTGCTTTGCTGAGAAGGGCACTAATGGCCGCTGGTAGGGCAAGTGGGATATCGTTAAACCAACTGGTTAACACTATTGTGGATAGACATATAATGTCATGTAAGAAACTAGCGAAAACAATATTGTCAGACCCCGAGCATTCTCTCTATACGCATGTCTCCTTGCATTTCATCTGCTAGAACCAGAAGCAGCTATAGGAGGCTATATGCTAGGACTACCAAGTACAAAACTCCACAATACTATACCTGGCACAGCTGGTAAGTGATGAGAAATTCGTTAGGTATGACGTTATCAACTTACTGCGGTACTCTAACAAATAGTCCCATTAGTTTTTGTTTTACTTTCTCCATTACTATTACACTGTTGTTCACATCTTCTATTACACACTAATTTTATATTTCATATCCTGTGGTACATTGTTTAAAATATAGATGCAACTCTGTTCTTTTTATTTATCTTTTTTTGAAGTGTTGCTTTTTGATTTTAAAACCCTATAAAATTTGTGAGGTAATTAGTTGCAATATTGTAATTCATGCTGAAAATAATTTTGGATTCCATGTCTTGCCTTCTGTTGTTACAATCGTCAGTGAGCTTGGTTTCTCAACCCGAAGGTCCCAGTTTCGATCCCTGACGGTTCATAGGTGCGCACTGTGAAGAGTCACAAAATTGAACTTAAGAGAACCACCCTTATCTGTGGGAATGCACTCTACTGCTAAGGCTCCTGAGGATGAATTACTTCAAAAAAGAATAATAATAAATAAAATAAAAAATAAATGCTACCTGCATGTCACAGCTTGCGTACAAACTCTTTGAAAAAATGGTACGATTTCTCTACTTCAGGAGGACATCTAACTGTATTAATCAGAACAACAGCATAAATCAGTATTACTATACTTCCTCTTTTCTTTTAAATAACGTATGTACTTTGGCATTTGGATTTCACTTCTTCAGTTATTATTCCCAACATTACCCTATATAAGAGTGAAAACCATAATTCGTTTCGCCCTAATTTTTACTTTTTTTATTGTTATTCTATACTTCAGTTGTTGTTTACTACTATAAACTTAAACTAACCGTTAGTATGTAACACTATAAAACTCAATGACTAGAAATTCCTAGTAATAAAAAAGGAGAATAAACCCTGCGGTTATCGCATATTGTTTACTTAAATTATTATTATCTGCTGGCTGCTTCTGTTTTCTTCACTTCTCGAAGGTATTGCACTGAAGCACTGCTAATGGACAGTAATTCTGCTTTCTACATTTGTATTACTTGAGCAGTATCCAGAATATTGTTAGCACTTACGATGAACAACGAAACAAATTCCATTCTGAATTCTGTTCAACATCGCAAAGTTTACTTTGTGACCAATTGGTCCCTTCTATCTGCTAATACCAATATAATGCTGTACTTACCATCTAATGTGGATTTTTATAAACTTTCGAACCCTTACTGATTGACAAAATGATAATAATAACGGTCTGGATCCAGTGTGGCTCACTCTTGCACCTGTATATCACCTCTCTTCTTACATTCCATTAACGCAAAATTTCATAATTCCCGCATGAACCTGAATCACCATGAGTATATTAAACATTATAATTTAGACTCAAACCAAAATCTTATATTCTATTCTTATAAAGTTACTAGAGGTCATTTTACAATTTTTAATTTCATAAAACAGTGTTCAATTACAGACTGCACTTGTCTAATATGATCATGCCTGTACAAACGGCATATGAATCATGTAAATGCTTAATTTATGTGAAATATATTACACACTAATTTTATATTTCATATCCTGTGGTACATTGTTTAAAATATAGATGCAACTCTGTTCTTTTTATTTATCTTTTTTTGAAGTGTTGCTTTTTGATTTTAAAACCCTATAAAATTTGTGAGGTAATTAGTTGCAATATTGTAATTCATGCTGAAAATAATTTTGGATTCCATGTCTTGCCTTCTGTTGTTACAATCGTCAGTGAGCTTGGTTTCTCAACCCGAAGGTCCCAGTTTCGATCCCTGACGGTTCATAGGTGCGCACTGTGAAGAGTCACAAAATTGAACGAAATAGCTGTCCAATGGTTCTTGGTTTTCAGCGAACTCTTTAAGTGATGTTAGTTCGTGGTGAAAATCTACCACCTGAAAAAAGTCAGATGTCATAAATTCACAGATCTGTGTGGCACTCATGTTCTCCTTCCAAAGTTTGCAATTGATCTCACTCTCTTTTCGTACAGAAATTAATATGTCAGACTGAACAAGGATTATGTCCTACCATTCTAACGTAAGTTAAAACATTAAGATAAAACATAATAATTTTACGGAATATTAAACTTGTTATATCATATCTTAGCGGAAAATATAGAAAATAGGATGGAATTTGATTCAACGGAAAGGTGTGATTTATATTAAATCACTGTACTCATCTGAGCTGTTTCGAACTTCCCGCCAATTAATTTCCTGTTGAACCAGAACGTTTGTGTTTCTTTTGCATGCTAGCACCTAGTAAGAACAATTCAGTGATCTTTGAAGGTTAAAATGCCTGGTTACTTGGTTAATTATGCTAACAGTGGGATTGATCAAATGCTAATTAGAGCTTGCAACATCAGTCAGCCAACTGGAATTATGGAATAACTTGAATATTTTGAACGATGCACAGAAGATAGGACCCATGGGACAGTGTCCAACAGGATTGTAACGGAATCGTTGGCTGAAGATCCATCTTCAAAGATCTAATGACAATAAATAATACCTGCTTGGATGTTTCAACTAACTTCATAGTGATTATTCCTTCTTCGCCTAGAATTTATATCGCTGTTCTGACACTTGCATGCCATATGTTCACGAGATCCCTATTATTTGTCTTTGCTCCTGCTCAGTCTCTAATTCTAATGCTTCTCCTTGTCGTTGTGTAGTGATACTGACAATGTTTGAGTGAGTCAAGGTTGTCCGGGCCTTGGACTGTCTATGAGACTTGTGAGGTATAGTTCTTGTGAGCACAGATTTGTTCTCACCTTGTCGGGAATGTTCTACCTGATTCTAAGTTACTTCTAAAGGTTGGGTTTTGATTCTGTAATCCTTGTTTTGCACTTGAGAACTAGTTTAATTTGTATAGCCGCCTTACGGCATCGTTGAGATAATTTCGAGTTTTTGATATGTTATTACTGTTAAATACTACCAGAGATTTTATCACAAATAACTATCATCTTACTGTCGTCAGGATAATTTTGTACCGCGTGTAACTCAAAGAAGTTCTGATCAAATATACAGTAGAACGCAAAGATTGATTGGCTGTATTCAGATCGCAACACGTTATTAAAAGGATAACTGATTATTGTTGGAACCAATATGCCATGAATTCGAGTCTCACAGGGGACATTATCAATCTCTAGAAATGCAGCATCATCCAATAGATGAGTCCCAGTTAGGACGAAACCTGTACCCTTAATTTCACTAATAGTCCCTGTCGACCTAGTTAATCACTTTGCCTTGTTAAATGACTACCTATCAAAGTATCTAATACAGTCCTACAGGAGGTCAATTGATGGTCAAAATGGCTTAGCGGTAACGTCTCTGACTGTAGTACTCACTGGGTGGCACGCGTTAGAATCTCACAGAGAACATGAGTTCCTTCAGAATTACAGATACACCTTACCAACTGGTGAATGTCAATAATCACGAGACCTAGGTGCAGCAAAGGCTTCCCGCTGGTTGCATCCAATCATCTAATAGCAATAATTCACAGTGTATCATGATGTCGGATCACCTAGCATGATGGCCAAATCTCAAACTCGACTGAGATAGAATTCAGTCTGCACCCAAATAAAGGACTAAACTCATGGCATCAGTTACTACCTAGTTTTTTCTACACAACAACTGTTATCCGGCAAAGTTCAACAATAGCCTCCCAAGGGATGCGAACGCACGAGTGACCTTCAGCCAGCCAATCATAAAAATGAGGAAGTTTTGCACAAAAAATGACGTATATTCATAAGAAAATGCATGAAAACACATTAAACAGATCATCTTTCTCTAACATGACTTAAAAATACGTCTCAGTAATGATGAGGAGTATCAGTTGCTAAGTTGGACTAGTTTCTGTAGATGTATTCACCAAAGTGACTGAAGATTGGTTGTTTTGTGAATCATTCATCTCCCTTCTCTTGCTGTGTAGTCCCCTCCAAAGCCCTCGGTTAAGTTACTATGGTTTCAGTAAGAGCATTGGCGGCTACATACAAGGAAAATGAGGATAATAAAACAAGTTGAAATAAATGACAAATATATTCCTAATCGCAATCCTAGTCTTAATCCTGACCCTAACCCCAAATTTCACACTAGCCCAAACCTTAATCCTAACCCAAATGACAATCCTTATCTTGCCGTAAATCTAACCTTAAACCCAATTATGACCGTAACCCTAATCCTAACCCCAATACTCGCCTTAACCTTAATCCTAACCCTAACGAGATGTTAACACATTGTCCAAACAGTAATTAAAAACGTTATCTAGGTGAAACTTGCTCCTTATTTAATGAACAGGGTTGATATTTCAGCTATGATAATGACAGGTACCTTTAGCGAACGACTAGCATGCGTTCAAGGTCATTTGAGCGTTCACACTCCTGGGACGCTATTCTTGTACTTCGCCCTGATATCCTACTGTTGGGTCCATCTACTATTTGATTCTCACTGAGATCATTAGATATTTATTTCTATATTAGGTTACTTGATCCGTATGATATCGTTTAAAAAAATTCATATTTTTCTATTATCCAATCAAATTCATTTATTGATTAAAACACGTTAAGGTCATTTGAAAACCATATCAACACAAGTAAACTAAGTAATATTTAAACAGAAAATTATTATCTTTCTCAAAACAAAAAAAAATAATATAATTAATTCCTTTAAAAATTGTTTTTATAAAATTAACTTTTATAAATGTATTTTTATAATTTACACGGAAAACGTATTAGTTTTGAAGAAGCTGTTAAACTGAGAAAGTTGAAAAACCTTGAACACTATAACCAATCCCTGTCAAGAGTATCATCATCTAAGTCGAGTACATATCAGTCTTGTAAATCACTCAATACACGCTTGAATTCACCATGGGAATTAGAATTACAACGATTTTTAATTCAAGGTGGACGTAGAACAACTACACCATTCTTGCTGCGTAAACCAAAACGGATTGTACAAAGTGCTGGTTCACGTCTATTACAAGAGTATACGGTGAAAGAAAGACAGGCCGATGAAGATACTGAAGCCAGAGATGATCTTGTAGCAGGTATGCGTTTTATTATCAACCAAGAAGGTGATCAAGAAAATGATGGTGATGTTGATGAATTCTTGAACATTGAATTCCACGCAGATCATTCTCATCCATCTAGACGACATCTAACCAGTATTGATCGGAGTACACTTCGACGAAGATCTCAGAGAAAGAAAGAAAGTTATTCTGAAATTAATAATGGTAGGTAGAACAATCATTTCCAAAACTTAATTGTTTCAGATCCAATAGAGGACACACTTAGCAGTCGTATGAATGACATTCAAATAAGCAAGAAAGATGTGAAAGGACAAAGTGATCATGCAAGGCAGGAGGACACTTTTTTACGTTCCGCCCAAACTGTTTCATCACCAACCTCCTCTCTATCAAGGTTTTCATCTTGTGATAACCTCAGTCATACTGATGAATATTTAGATGAAACAGATTCATCGGATAAATTAAAACGAAATCTAGGAAAGAAAATTCCTGTAAGTTTAAAGAAAAAATATGCGTCATATTTTATGCATTGACTTTTTGTAAATGAACATGATAAACTCTCACTGGTGTTCACTGCTGCTTATCCTGAGGGTTTTCCAACTTTTCATAGTAGATACCGATCGATAAGCAAGCTCACTTTTCTTGACTGGTATTCATGGTGTCAAATGGATGATGACATTGAAGGCAGAGGTTCTCATCCGATCACCGAAGTTAAACAACGTTAGGCCCAGTTAGTACTTCCATGGATGACCGGGTGTGAATACTGAGTGTTGCTGGCTTTGAGTGTGTCGATGGCACAGCGGTTAAGACTCTCACCAATCATGCATATGGTTCGGGTTCGATGCCCTACCGACGAACACCTGATATCAATGGTTGACCTGCTAAATTCGAGCTACCGATATCATATGCTGAAAACTCGATACTTGTATCAAAAAGATGGTGTGGAATCAAGCTATTATTTAAAAAAAATGGCATACATATTTTTAGTTTCTCAAGGACACCTTGGTGTATTTTCACCTATTAATGTGTGTCATTTACAAATTGGAAATGCGATGCTATGTGCTACGAGTTTACGTGAGTAGCTAGCTAGCCAAGTTTACCACCAACAAGTTTATCCCTATTTGAGCGAAACATCATTCACATGTTTAGATCACCTATGGAGTCTTTGGTGTATACTGATGATAAGTTCTAGAGTAGGACGAAAAAGTTGTCTAATCATCCCTAGTGGTTTTCAGTGGTTCCAAAACTGACATCAGCTCCTGATCTAATTTAAAAGTAAACAGTTCCGTTCAAACCAACACTTTACAATTTAGAAAAAGATGAAAAAATTGAGCGAAGAATATCCTTTTCGATAATTTCCTCTCCTGGCTGTACAATTATACATAAATATATATATGTTTATATACATAGAATATTCTAGATTGGTAGTCAATAACAATATTGGTGTTTTTTAAATAATATCGATTTGTTTAGTAAGATCAATGGAATTACAGTTCATTAGAGACTTCGAAAAGGCACTCGACAGCGTAGACCGAGAAGTAATTTGGAAGCTACTTCGACACTATGGTGTATCTGAATTCTTTGTCAACCTCATTCAACAGCTAAATGACAATGGCGCTTATCAAGGGATCCACAGTCGACAACAGCCGGGCAAAGCCTTTGAAGTGAATACAGGAGTAAGACAAGCTGGCTGCCTATTATCACCGATGATATTCTTAATTGTGATAGGATGGATTATACATCAGACTGTGCGTTGGAAGGAAGCAGATCGGAATATACTGGGCAACCGATAAGAATACTCCAGAAGATCTGAATTTCACGCGTGTATGATTTATGTCTAATGTCACATAAACTCGCAGACTTGCAAGCGAAAACCACAGACTGACAGGAGAGGTAGGCAGCGAAAACAGGACTGCAGGTGAACACAGAGAAGACGGACGGAGATGATGAAGATAACCAATGAACCGCAAGAACAATAACCAGCACTAATCACCATCAAAGGGAGAGATTTAACAGAGGTTGCCTCCTTCACTTATTTAGGGAACAAACATCGTTTCAACTACAGGCCAGTGGAACGGACGAAGATGTCAAAATCAGAATCGGAAAGGCAAGATACGCCTTCATCAACCTGAAATCAATTTGGAAATCTTCCTCACTGCACTTAGTATAAGGAACAAGATTCGGATTTTCAAAACAAAAGTCAAGTCGATTCTTTTATGCGGGTCATAAACTTTACCAGCGTGACATGAAAAAGATTTCCAACAGATTGCAAACTTTCATCAATAACTGCCTTCACTCTATAATGAAGATCAAATAGCCGGCCGGTCAGAAAGAATTAGCAACAAGAGATTCTGCAGTGGGACAAACCAACAGGCGAGAGCCAGTCGCTAAACAAACATGTAGGAGAAAATGGAGATGGATCGGGCATTCGATGAGGAGGCCGCCGAATGACATCACACGCCAGACCAGGGCTCGAGTGAAGTCCGAGTGGTAAGCAACTAGTGGGTCGTCCTAGGGTGACATAGAGGAGAGAACATGTGAGGTAAAGATGAGAGAGTTTGGTCAGCCGTGGACCTAGATGAAGAGGACGGCAGAACAGAACAAAGTGGAGATGTGTTGTTGAAGGCCTAAATTCCACTCGGAACTCAAGGGAATAATGATATAATGAAGACGCATAAGTATTATAATAAGCATACAAATATAACAGCAAATAGAATATCAAATAAAATTAAGGAAATTTCTACTACAAATTAAGAATAATTCGAGTCTTGACGACCAAGGTAAGGACAATGTCTACACCAACCAACCTCTTTTGGATACATAAGTTAGGTTTCTTAATGTAGATCCCAACAGTCAGTCAGTCAGTCTCAGCCGTATGTATGTAGTAGACGAACTCTTAAGACGAAGTTAAGATAAGTTGGTATGCGCGGTAGATGATTTTGAAAGCCACTTCGTTAACATGGACCCTCACCACACTCGTACCCCCGTCAAATAGCTTTTTGCGCAGATGTTCCGACCTTCTCGGTGCTACATCCTCTAGTTGAGGATTGTTACTGATAGGCTTGTCCCACTGTACCCATCTTTGGAGCTGACTGGCGTTAACTCGTTTCTGTTTATCACCTCTTCGGATGGTACATACTTGACCCCGTCTTTTTGTAATTGTGTACGGTCCTTCCCACTTTGGAAGGAGTTTTCGTGAACCTGACCCGCATCCAACTGTATTTCTTTTGTCTCTACACTTCACTTGGTCCCCGACTGCAAAGATTTTGCACTGAGTCTTTCTTTTCAGCTGAGACTTCGCGACATCACTCCGCTGCTTCTTCATTAAATTCTTGACTGCTTCTTTCCGCTCTGCTTTTAATTTCGTCGTACTCCATTTTGGTGACGGGGCCAGGTCTCGTTGTGTATTGGTAATCGTGGTTTTCTACCATACATCAGTTGGAAGGGCGACTTCTTCGTTGTTTCCTGAGTGCTAGCACGATGTGTCAGTAAAATCAGTGGAAGTTCCGTCTCCCAGTTACCGCCCTTCGAGGCCAGCCACTCCTTCAGTGTACGGTTGTTTCTCTCCGTTAGGCCATTCGTTTGTGGATGATATGGGGTCGTTCTGATCCTCTTGATGCCCAGCTGTTGCAAACGGGAAGTAAACTCTTCACTCTCGAAACAGGGACCTTGGTCTGTCAGTATTGTCTTCGGTACGCCGTGGTCTGCAACAATGTGTCTAACTACTGCATCTGTCACGGTTCTTGCACGTTGGTCTGGGATTGCTACGGCGTCTACCCATCGTGTCGCGTGTTCCGTCATCACAAGAGGTACTGATTACCATTGGATGTCTGAGGAAATGGACCCATAAACTGTAACAACTGCGAAAAACACTACATCGGCCAAAGTGGACGTCCCCTTCGTCTTCGTATCCACGAACATAGGCTAGCCGTCAAAAGACATGATATACACTCCCTCATTTCACTACACACAGACAACCACGGACATCAATTCGACTGGGACAACGTTCAAATATTAGACAAAGGAAATAACAAGAATGCTAGAGAATTTTTAGAAGCTTGGCATTCCAGTGGATCATCAATCAATAGACACATCGAGATAGACAAAATTTATCAACCAATAAGAAAGAAACTTCATACACAAAGGGTCAAAGTTCAAGTCAAAGAAACAACCGGTTCCATACAAGTAACCTAGAAGGTGTGAAAACACACACAAACAACCAATCACGTCCAAGGTCACCAGGAGAGATGATTAATAAACTCGTGGAGAAATCTAAAAGCTCACTTCAAATTGAAGTATGCGCTGAAGATGTCACCCAGTAAGGTGATGAAAGCTTCGCAAACTAACCATCCAGCTCAGAGAACAAAACCACATCAAAATTAATCTTCTGCGTTCTGCAGTATTCACAAGATGAGATAGAACAGCGCTATATGAATGAATTTTGTTTGTGCTTTACTTAACCATGCAGGATGATGTTTAGAAAGCTGACTAGAAATACGCCTAATTGTACGGCTTATGTAACTGGCTCCATCGGAGTAGTTAACATAGCTAGTTAGTCTATAAGGGTACCCTCTTTTGAACTATAGGATTGGTGGAGATAATTATTGAATCCAAGATCAGTCAATTTTTAAAGGTTAGCGACAAAATTACTACATAATTAATAATTTGTAAGTTAATGACTCAGGAGAATTAGATGAATGAGTCATATAAGGTCACCAAAATACGAATAGGTCAGTTGAATTAATTCAAATAGTAATCACAATAAAACAACAACGTCAAAAAAATACTTACAAGGATAAGAGATAGCCATTTGTAAGGCTCTACGTATTATGCGGGCAGTCAAGGCAAAGAAAGGAGCAGAATACATGTACACACAAACACACAGGCAATGCAGTTAGATAACTGAAGAACAGCCATTTGTGCAGAATAAGATACTACTATCGTTTATTTCGTCGACTTCTCATTAGCTGCTTAAAACCCAAAGAAATTATTAAGTCTACATAGGCATCTGATGAGAAGTCAACGAAATAAACGACGGTGTCACCTCATTCTTTATAAATCATTGTTCTTGCCTTATTCAAACTTACAAAGGGGAATAGGTGTATGAACATTCTGTGTATTCTCAACTGGATTTCTGATGTCTCTGGCGCATGTTAAAATCGGCCTTCTAAAGCAAAGAGAGGGGTTAGATGCGATGCTTAATGTCACTTACCAGCATGGTAGGTGAATATGGAGCTATATGTTGCTTTAATCTGTTCCTCGTTGAACCATGGAGTTCGGCGCTCAGACGATGAACTCAAACGATCTGCAACAGCAGTTAAACTGGTAAATACACATTGAAAGTGGTCTAGTTATGCAGTTTGTTTTTATTCTGCCCATAAGCTGGTTGAAGAATTAACGGTGTAACATGTCCCTCGTATACCTCAAGATTCACATATCTCTTCATACCTTTGGTTCCATTGATGAATTTCGATAAAGAAAGGAAAATGAA